CAGGTGGGAGTCGTCGGAAAGCTGAGCGTAAGTGCTTGAACCCTCTGTGCCCGTTTCTTCCTGTATAAAATGGAGACAATGATAATACAGGAAAAGCTTCTCCCACTTAGAGGTGTTGTGGGGAGTTACTAAGTTCATCTCTGCAGGACGCTTGGCACGTGGAAGGTGCCATAAGGACTAGCTGTCATTCTCCAAATTGTGACCTCCCCCGACACCAGTTCAAGGTGCTTTCTTCCCACTTGATCCAACAGCAGTCATGTCGGTGGTGGGACACTCTACTTGCTGTGAGAAGGATGGAGAAGGGGTTCCTCGGGGCCAGGCCACAGGACCCTTGGGACAAGGCCCTGCCTCCATGTTCAGGGCTTTCAGCAGCTATGGACCTGATGGGGCTGCAACAGGCTTTGCAGGGAAGATGGGGGAGGGGCATATGCAAAGAAAAAGCTGATGAGCAGTCTGCTTTGGAACAGGGCTGGACACTCTGTGTTGGGGAGTCCAGGGCCCCCAGCATGCCCCTGGCAGCAGGGAGGGCATGCCTGGCAACCTTCAAAATGTGAATTTCCAAAGAGCACCAGGAGGAAACCTTCCAGAACCTTCTCACACGTGGGCCTCTCAGGGCGCTGTTTTTCACTGTCCACTTAGGTCTTAGTCCCTTACAAAAAGGCACCTCCCTTATGGGAGATGACTGAGGTGGGGGAGAATTAATTCCTGTTTTCCTACCCTCATGGAGGATGTCAAGTATGAAATCCAGAGAATTTCTCTTTCTCCAGTTCAGTGCGTTCGAAGGAGACCCACAGGACTGGAGGATCAGCTGGGACAGAAGAACACGGCCTTTCTTGTCTAAAACCAAGTCAGTTCCACAAAACTGGAAAAGCTCATTTAGAGAACTCCTGGGCTCTGGGCACCTGTAGGGTGGGTAGGAGCTAGTCTGTTAGGGAAAAGACAAACTCATCACACAATCCTGTGCCTTCCCTGCAAGAAGAAGACACTTGGCCAGGCCAAGAGGTGAAGTTCTTGTTTATTGTTGCAGCAACTCTTATACAGACATTAGCGTTCAGTTAAATAAAGGAAGATAGCACAGTAAAATACATCACAACCCCAAACCGGATGACTGTGGCCACGGTACAGAGGAGGGAGGGAGGGACCAGTGACCAGACTGTCGAGGAAGTACATTCAGTGGGTGTGCGGTGTCCACATTCCAGGCTCACGTGTAGATATATTTTATTTATATATTTATTTATATTTATATATAGATCATTGAGTTTTGTGTATACAAAGAACGATATTGTTACAAATACAATACTATACTTCTCCCGACGCTTTACAATAAGCTCTATTTCACCCTCTTTACAGAACAATAGTACAAGTTCATTCTCTAGGTGCTGTGCTAAGTATGTACAAGAAATGTCATTCCCACACAGTCCTCACACACTGCCTTGATGGAGGGGAAGAAAGATCGAGTTGTGTGCTCAAGTCGACCCAGGCCAGGGAAGGAGACAGACATGAAACTCAAACCAACAGGCGGCCTGTGAATGTGAGTCAACACATCTAAGGAGGGGCGGCCCCTGGTTGTAAACATTGGTAACGGCTACACCACTGGGTCGAGGGACCCAGGAAGGGCTCTGTAGATGGTTTTCATCCGTGTGCGGGAGGTGTTGGTGCCCACAGGGTGAGGGGGGCAGAGGAGCGATGGGGGAGGTAGTAGGTTACTCTGGGACTCCCTGAAGGCGGTGTTGATGGGCAATGTTCAGAAAGCAAACCCGTGCACAGGGACCCGGCGCCCCTGCAATGCGCTCCTAGGAGCCTGCTCTGGCGAGGGAAGGTGTCGCTGGAGAAGTGGGCTCCAGGCATTGGTCTTTGGGGGTTTCTCCCTCTCGTGAACCCAAGGCTGATGGTGGCTCCCTGAAATGCTCACACTGGAGAAGAGGCAGGGTGGGTTCTGGTGCCTCTGCCTGGACCAGGAGGGGGAGGTGAATGTGGGAGTCCATCCCCAAAGCTGAGCCACCAGCATGTCCTGGTGGAGCAGCCACAGCGGCTCTGTGCCCTCGCAGCATTTGGGAAGGCTGCTCTGTACATAGCCTTCCCGTTACACGGGGTATTTAGATATTTACATATATAACTATATATACCGGGATGACAGAAGGGAAGACCACCACTTCTCTTGGGACTTTCAAAAAATCTAGCGACTCACTTTTAAGACTCTGGCTGCTGGGGTGACCATATCTAGGCTCACTCCCTTGCCCCAGTGGTAGTGGGAAAAAGAACCCACTTCAGTTGGATGGACCTGTTCCGAGCTCCAGCAACTTCCACTCACTGGGTGTGAAGACACACCTGGATTAACACAAAAGAATGTGGTGGACAAATCATCTCACTCTTATGTTACAATGTCAGTTCTCCAGGAGAGCTTGCAGAATTGGCTTTTTCAGCACCTCTCAAAGTTTACAAGGTTTTTGTGCAATAGGAATAGAAAGTATATTCTCTCCTTGAGGTGAAGATAGGTAACTGTTATGTGCAGGTTGTACAGGGACGCACTACTGGAGTTCTGTCCCCTGGCCAATCGTGGGCGGGCCTCTGTGGTGCTGCCCAGGGGCCTGGGGACAGACAGGCATGAGCCCCTGCAATGATTTTCCAAGGCTCCTGATGCCTGAAATGCCACCAGTAACACTTCATTCCTGTTCTATCCACTCTTATTGTCAGAGGAAAGATGAACTGGCTGGTGACTCTTTAGTGTCTCATTGTATCACCAGATACTCTACAGCAAATGGAGAACCCAGGCCATGGTTCCTTCCTGGTCCTCACGTTTGTGATGGGTTGACCTTGGGGCTGGTCTCCAAGCAACTTTCTGTAAAGCACCCTTCAAAGAAGTCCTGGGGAGCTTTATGGCCCATCCCAGAGTCCCTGGCCCCACCCCGTGCCACTCTCTGCAATGGCAGAAGCCCCTTTCCCCACAGGGCCCCTGGGCAGCCAGCGGCCTCCCTTCCTTAGGGCTCCTTTGTAGTACAGTGAAACTGAGAGCTCCGCTGCTCATTCCTTTCAAGCATTGCGCTTCCCTGATTCTAAGCAGAAAACTCTGAAGGTATAGAGATCTCGGGGAGCTGATCACAGAGCTCTCTGGTTGAAGTCTCTTGTCCCTAATCTTGTTATAGTCACTTTTCTCCCTCCTTAGAATCCCTCCATTCTCTCTATAAATATATGCTATCCAACATTTGCTCACTGAGTTCCTATTTCCGTAGACACAACATAAATATCCTGGATGCAGAGAACAGGGACTATATTAATTACAAAATATATTAGTTTCTCTTTCCCTGTCTCTACTGAGGTCATGAATGAAACAAAACAAAAGCAAAGCCAAATCACACCTCACATGAAAACAAAATGCTCTTTGGACCAAGTGAAAACTGGCTCAGAATTATAATATTACTAAAACATCTACACTGAACTGAGACGGAAGCCATAAATATGAGGCACCTGATGAAAACACGGAACATTCCACACCAGCTGAAAATGCTCTCAGGCCCACAAGGCAGCAAGAGGGTGTTTATGGGCCACATCTGGGGATTCTGAGGCATAACTTGAGGTTGCTATTGTCCCCTTAATTTTGTGGCTTATGTACTATTCTGGCCTTTCCAATATCACATGCTGCCTAGTGGCCCTGAGGAAAGAAAGCTGGTCTTGCCTTGGGCCAGGAAACAAGAGGACAATTGCACCTGGAGCTCGCCTTCTGGGGAACAGTCCCTCCTTCCCAGACCCCTGGGATGTGTGTTTGGCAGGAAGGGCAGTCCAGGAGGAGGATGCTTAAACCAAGGTGGTGCTGGAGGGGCTGGGCCTCAGCCGCAGAGAGGGCAGGTCTCTCAGGATGAGGCTGAGCAGCCCCCACCCTCCTGGCCACCTGCCAGGGAAGGGGCCTCCCAGAGAGGTGGGTTTCCAGGGGATCTGTGTGCCTAATCTTCACCTTGTCTCATTGGTGGTGGGAGCAGGGAAGGGTGATATGCAAATGGGACTGTGTGTGTGAGAGATACAGAGAGAGAAGCAGACAGTACCTGCCTGTGTTTATCTAATGGTTGATAACTTCAGGACAACCTGGCAAAGCTCAGATGCCCCATGAATTGCCAAGCTCTCTGTGACACTATGGTGTCCTTGCCCAAGGCAGTTATTTCCCCTTTTATCCTGGGGTCAGAAGGCTCGTGTTAGAAAACACACATACGTTGAAATTAAAACTAGCAATAGAAGAGGTTTAAGGTTGGCTCAGAGATTCTGGGAGGAAATAATGTATGGTGCCCCAACTACAAGGCAGGCAGTGCATAACCTTAATGACGTGGGCTGGCCCTGGGTACTACCACATTCCCACAGATAAACTCAGAGAGCAGAGATCAGCAACTGGGTTTTAGGCACTGCTGAATCAGCTGCTTCACTGCCCTGGGAGCTCCTTCTAAGAGGTCTGCACCTCTTGGGGAGGGAGGATTCCCCCTCAGGCAGTGACAGCTCACCCCTGGACACACCCAGAAGGCCCTCCAGGATGGTCCTGGGTCGGTACCAGGTGGATGCTGGCTGCTCTCCATCCTCAAGGGAGTGCATACGAACCTTCCCTGGTATTTAAAAAAAAAAAAAAAAAAAAAGCAAATCGATTCCAACTAGTCT